GGATGACATTTCTTTTCCTCTTTTGCCATAGAAGCATTTTCTTTCATGAATACTAGTGCATATGAAAATCCTATGTTGAACAATATTTATTTATATGGTGCCCCTTTGTGAGGACAAAACTGCTCTCAGCAGAAACACGTGAAAATGAAAATTCACATGTTGGTGTATTTAGCATTAGTCTTTGGCAGGTTAAATGCTATTAAATATAGGTTAGAATTTCCATTTGATTAAATCACTAGTTGTGGCTTGTCTGAGCATGTTATAGGCAATTCACGTGACAGGCTGATATGTAACTACCATATATAATTTTATATTAGTAGAATGACACATTTTCATTGTTTCCAGTGCTGTTTTTCTGTAAAAGAATATATTTTAGAATTGTAATTATAACTACCCACCATGATTCAAACCATCACGTGTGCAGTAATTTCAACTCAAACTGTGTACTTCTTTAAATGTGATATTTTACTAGAAGAATGCCTTTTGGTATTTCTTTTACTTACAATTGTAATAGTCATACTAGACAGCTCTTTACACTGACAGAGGTCATTTAATGTCAGAATTATGTTCTGGAAAACATGTTAAGTGATGTGATCTTAAGTGGGTGGATGTTTCCATAAAAATTAACTTAAATAGCTGGGATGTGGTCTGCGATTCCCTTACTCCATTTGCAGACTTTTAACTTATGACAGTTTCAGTACTAAATAAAAAGGAAAATAAATGTAGATAATAGTGTAATATAATAATATATATTCATTTTATAATTGTATTACACAAGAATATTCCAAATAAATATCCAGAAATCATGTAAGGCACCTCAAATTTTTCCTGACATGTACACAAAAATATCAACAAGCAATGTGCAACAACATATAATGCTGTTGAACGTAGTTTCTCTGCCATGAAAGAGCCTGCAGTTTAAACATAATTTTAGATGTGTTCCAGCAACTTAACAGGGTTATATTACTTTTTTTGATGAGCCAATGAAGTTGAGTAAAAGTGATAAAAGTCTCTAATTTTGTAACAGTATTAAAAGAATAAAAAGTTAACTGATACCACATAAAGTGATCATTGCTCACTGAAATTATCACCTGATTGGTAGTGTATATTAAAGAGAAAATTGGAGAAGATACCAGTAATGGTGGGGTTCGATCATAGTAGATATGGGAATCTTGGGTTCAGTATGTATTTTCATATTAATATAACAATAAAAGAAGTGACACATGAAGATCTGTAACCAAACAGTGATGATAATTATGCTTGAGATTATGATTGTGTTGGTACACCAGTTAAATACAGTAAGAGTAAAGTAAAGCTGTCCCACTATATGCCATGTAGGTGGTTGGTGGGAAAGGTGGTATAGCTCCTACTCATTCTTGACCTCAGCACTAGATGGGGGCGGGGGGGGGGGGGGGGTCAGCATCAAGCCCTGATCGTGCTGTACTCCTGGGAAAAGACCCTGGTGCCCATCAGATAAGAGGCTGGGTGGGCCCCAGAATTGGTCTGAACACAGAGGCCAGAGGAAAAATCCTCTGCCTTCATCGGGGACTGAACCCCAGTTGTCTAGTTCATAGAGTTAAATACAGTGCATAATGTAATCCTCTTCATTTGTACAAAATTTTAATATTGTAAAGGACAGTTACAATTTGATTATTTTTTAGTATTGAGATTGCTTTAATTTGAGAAACTTAGAGATTTCTGTCTTCTGGGTTGTTGCACCGTGTAGTATGGTTGATGTTTACCAAAATTTCAGAGGTCATAATGCCTCCGTCATCAGGGCGATGAATCTGACAAGTGGGTGGAGGGGGCTAGGTTTAGGAACCGGACAGTGAATGGAGTAGCCTGCCCACTGCCTGTTGATTCACTGTCCAGTTCCTATAAACCTAGCCCCCTCCACCCACTTGGCACATTCATCGCCCTGATGACGAAGGCAGTATGACCTCTGAAACGTTGGTAAACATCTACCATACTACACGGCGTAACAACCCAGAAGACAGAAATCTTCATACTCACCGCTGTGAAAACCTCAAATTATACATTGAGAAACTTATTTTTCAGTAAACTATTATAACAGAATACTACAGTAATATATTTACAACCTTTGCTTAAAGGTCTCATTTAACTCTCTTTCTTCTTTTATTATTTTAAATTATATTGCCTACTACATCCAAAAACCTTCAAAGAGGAGAGCCGGCAGTAAGTTAAAGATCTGGTAGTGTTGGAGAATTTGTATTTTAGATCATAAGTAAACTGTGCTCATTCACAGTTGGAGCTTTCTATTTAATATGCATTACTGGACAGTTGTATGAAGGTCTTAGTATTGAAATATATAGATTCCTGTTGATATAATGGCTTGTATCACAGCGTGCCACTTATTTTCCATGCGCGCTTCCTGAAAGAGCCATACATGAGTATTTTCATTAGGTTTATGCAATATTGCATCTAAATTTTTATAAGAAGTATATTTATTATTATAGAAATTTATGTTAGTTATTTTTAAATTTAACTAGTTTTAAGATTTACATATTTTTGTGTTTCTATCGTCTGTGCAGTTTATATTTCAGTAATACCTGTGTCATCTGTCCAGTTTCCCACTCATTATGACTACACACTTAATCATTGTTTTTAAGAATTTAAAACTTGGCAGAAAAGAATACCACAGAAACAATATGCAGGAAGTGCCTGGTTCAAATCTAAGCCCAGAGACTGGCTATGTAGCTGAGAAATATGTGGTTTCTCTCCGTCCCTCCAGGCAAAATTAGGCCATGGCCACATCTTTCTATATCTTTTCCAAGTTATTATTTGTTAATAATATTATTTGATGCTATACAGGATGAATCAGAGCTGTAGTACAATACTTATGGAAGTTGTTGGGGAGATTATTTGGAGCGGTGTTTTTTTTAAAGATTTACCATTGTTTCCAAGTGACACTGATGTTGCTTTGTATTATTACCATGAAATTTAAAAAAGTGCAGATACAAGTTTGTTATTATTAAGTCTATTTGTTTCATACATATTATTTGTTTAATTGAAATTTAAATGCATTTTTACTTATATTAGAACATCAACACCTCAGATTAATCACCTTTTCCTTACATAAATGGACCAGTTAAATTTAAACACTAAAATACAGCTGATAAATAAGACACTTTATTTTGTGTACGCGAGATTATAATGCTTAAAATAGCTGTTTTATTTAATTTATTTATATTTAATAATGCTATTAAGTAACTGATTATTAATTATACAGAGAGTGTGCATGTGTTCATGTGTCTGAGTCCGTGTTTGCGTGTGCGTGTGTTTGTGCTTGTGTGGGTGTTTGTGTATACTTCACAGTTCTGAAAATGACCCACTTTCACAGCTGTTCATATGGCACTACAACAAGTTTGTTCCCTGCTTCCAGACTAAGAATGTTATATATTGTGTGCGCTCACCTTCTACACCAAGATTTAGTTATCACAGGAGATGGGTGTTGAATGGTTGGACATATTTCTTGCATATATTTTGTAGTAATCTTGAACCAAAACTTAAGTGTGTTATGTTTTCATCATTATTGACAAACTATGTTGCTTCTCCATCATCAGAATTAGGTAACTTCAGGTCACTTAAGACTGACATGATTCTCTCATGAAAGTTTGCCCCACCTGTGTTGTTGTTTGCGGTTCATTATATTAGTAGTCGATACTGAAACTTCATTACTTTATGCCCAGATACATTGAGGTTCTAGTTAAAACATGTAATAAATTACATTTCTATGTTCAGATTGTACTTTTGGGCATAGTTATATTCTACTTCTCCATATGATAGCAGAAGTTGTAGATTGATCTTTCACTTTAGTAAAGCAATATTACTGACTATGTTTTATTCAGAGGACTGAAATAATGTAATAGAAATGGTTCTGTTAAATTCCCGATAATTTTTAACTTTTATGGTTGTGATTGCTTCTGCTGTGTGTCAGTGTATGAAGTGACTGAAACATGAACGTAAGACAGAAGGTTTTATATTTTTTGTTAACATGAATGCACCACCCTTGCTTTGTAGTAGTATTTTATGCTATTTTGGCACAGAAGCAAGAGAACCAAGTGAAGTATCAAGGAAACCATGCTATTCTTCTGTAGATTATCATCTGTAAGGGTATCTGTCAAAGATACAGCATTACATTCCTGATGTTTTGGTCTAAGATTATCTTCATATTTGAATGACATGGAACCTGTAACCTAGATCCA